CATGGCAAAAACTCAAGGTGAAAATTCAAGAGAATAACCATTTAGTAAACTGCAATTCAAGTGCTCTGAGAGGGAATCAAACTGTTTTCAGACTTTATCTAACTCCTGGCATGAGTTTCTGAGTTCTATTACTACCCTTTTTCTCGTTTGGTGGTTGTTTCTGAAGTATTAGCCAATCATCTGCAAAGTTTATATAAACACATATTAAAAAGGCAGAGCCCACGGTGACTCACCTGCCTTTGGTGAAACACTTCATTGACGTAACAAGATCTTTGATGTACTGCCAGAATCATACAAATGAAAATGACGAATAGAAAAAAATAGCTTAACCTAATAATTTTAGCAGTAGTTCAAAAGACAGTGGATCACTTTTGAATTTACAGACCAAATTTTGCTATTTTTTAAAAGTCTCCAGGCAAAGACCGCAATTTTCCAGTGCCTGATCATCCTGCCATCTCCCCAAGAACAGATACAGTTGCTGTGGAGCAGAAGGGTATTAACATTCTCTCATTAGGAGAGCACTATCCACTTTTAAAATGCATGCTGTGTGGCCCAAACACAAAAATTAAAACAGCATTATAACTGTAGGTTACACACACACACGCGCGCACCAGGGAGTTTATTTTCCACTTTAGGAGAGGATTTATCCTACTATAATTAGTGAACATAAGTGGCCAGGTATGATAAGTCATAAGTCAACTGCATTTCTCTTTTTTTCTTTAGGCTTATAGTTGAACTAATTTATTCTGTTTTTAAATGTTAATCCTCCACTCTTCAACGTTCCCTTCCCACACACAGCAGTATTTTACTGACAAACACATACACCGGGTCAAAAAGAAAATAACAGTTGTCTCCCTGCAAACACACAGTCACATTTAACTAAGACAGAAAATCATACTTCTGTTTTCTCTTATTTTGAGATGATGACCGACCTAAACCCACATGCCCACATATGAACACGTGTAGGCAAACAAATCTATGTAGCAACTTGATATGAATTGTTTTAGTATTATTTTTTATTATATTATGATGTTTGGCCTTGTGGGAATCTGTAATATTCGTTGAAAAATGTTTTTACCATACCATTTCATAAATCACATGCAAGATTTTTAATAGTTGTGAACTTTCCAGTGGATTTTTATTCCCTGGTAAATACAGATTTTGTTCTATTTTGAGATTTATAAAAGGGGACACAACCAGGTGATGCTTCAGGAAAGACAAGTCATACAGTAGTCATAGTCAGAATCTGCATAATGACATACACCAGCCTTCCCTTTATGGCTTGTAAAGAGATTTGTCTGCTCAGCTGAGTGGAAAAAAATGTAAAAATCAACCTCAGCATCTGGATTGAAGTTAGATTGGACGAATACTGACTCAAATCATCTGCAAGCTCTTGTGTTAGACTTGTCCAATGAATAATATTATATAAAATCTGTCTAAAAGTGTTGAAAATCAATTTTTTCAGCTATTCTTCATCCATTCATATTACCTCCTGCTATCTCCTTGGTGATTCTTTTCACCTATATTTCATCAAAGGAAAACAAAAGCTGAACACCCCAAAAATAACCACCTTCCCCTTAATTTAAGCCTTTAATTCGTTCTCCATCCTCAGTCCTCGAGATCTTCTTACATCTTTCCCTTTTGGATCTCCTTTTATTCTCACTGTAGTGTCCCCAACCTGTATTTGAATACCTCCTACCTCTTTCTTTTCCTTCAGACATCACTTGTGCGAAGGCAGATCAATCCTTTAGCGCCTGTTTCTTTTTCTCCTCCTTCTGTCCCTCCAGCGCAGCAGAGGGCCTACATCTCATATTCCATTTTTACTATTTCATGTATAATGCAGTAGGTCCCTTTATCAAAGTGAAAAAATGTCTGTCAGAGCAGAGGGCAGGCCAGAGGTTTAGAATCAAAAAGAAGCACTGAGGGGTCGGACAGCTGAGAGACGAGCTGTCCGACCTCCATTGGACCAAAATACATTTCTTTGTTATTTCTTATCATCTGAACATGAGGTTGAATATTTTTGCAACAAATACACAACATCTGAAACATTAACCAGGTATTTCTTGTGCAATGTTAAGTTAATCCTTGTTTACATGTTTGAATATGTGTAGGCTACACAGAAACAGACAAATGAAATCATCTTAAATGTGCAGCTTTTGTCATATTTTCCAGAGGTGAATGCAAAACACAGGAGGATGTTAGCTGGGTAACAAGAACAATCAGACTGGAAAAATAAAAAAGTAAAACTAACAGCAAAACACAAGTGATGGGGAACTATCAAAATAAAACAGGAAGAAACTCAACTGGGGATCACTAAACACGGAGATGACGATTTAACAAGATACAGGAGGATACCGAAGAGGCTAGGATAATAAACCGGTACACACAGGATCAAATATAGATAGGCTGGAGTGGTAATATAATTGGAATTCTAAAATATTAAAAAGCTCATTATAGTAAAGTAAGAAATCAAACTCAACCAAACCTCTTGAAACTGAAAACAGTCATAAAACCAAGTGTTACAGTACGCTCCAGCAACACAAAGACCTAATCAAAAGTCTGTAGGGGAGACTGGAAACAGCAAAATCTACAGACCATGACAGCTTTTTAAAAATGTATGAATGAGTGGATTAAACACAGAGGACTACCATTTTTAGTTTTGTCCACATTTTTCAACAACAACGAAGTTAAAAGAAAATTTAAATTGCAGGAAATGATGGAAGAAGAGTAACTTTGATCAACTTCATGATATGTAAATAAAGTATTTATTTATTTAGCAACTCTTAAGATTGAGGATATTTTCTGGAAGAGTATCCTCTACTGATATCAGCAAGATTGAAAATGCATGTTTTTCAAAGGCAGGGGAAACCAGAGCTACTAGAGGAAAGTCATGCAAACACAGCGAGAACATGCAAACTCCACACAGAAGCGAGCTCGTGACCCTCTTGCTGTGAGGCAATAGTGCTAGTTACTGAGCCACTGTGATGCTAACAAACAAACATGACAGAAGTGCTGCATTAGGTTTTGACTTTCTTAGACATTTTTGTCTCTTCCATCCACCTTGGAAGTAGGTCAAGTTGTTCTAGAGAAAGGATGGATGGTAGAAAAAATGTGTTTGAAAAGATTTTCAACCATTTTATGTTTATATTATGAAAAAATCACTAGGGGAGTATGTTTGTCAAAATGCCAAATACTGCATCTTATTATGAAACTTACCTTCCATCCATCTTCTTCTTCGTATCTAATTATGGGCTATCCCAGCTGTCACTGGTTGAGATGCAGACTATACCATGGACTGGCTGCTAGTTTGTCACAGGGCATTTGGACATATATAAATATACAATGTAATAAATATATGGAATTTATTTTTGGCAAATGGCACATCTTATATAGTCATTGAAACATTTCTTGTCTTGGAATATTGGGTGTGTTGGTGGTGCTGATCTTTGAATGAAGATTTACAGTAAATGATGATTGGCCCATTACTTTGCTGTTTAGAGGTTAATTTTGGCGTGATTGTTACTCTAAAGCAGGGACGTCAAACTCAAATACACGGTGGGCCAAAATTCAAAACTGGAACAAAGTCGCGGGCTAACATTAATATTTATTGAAAAAAAAATCTTCCTCCAGATATAAGAATGAATCTCTTCTTATGGACTCAAATAAGTTTTGCTGGAAAACTGAATATGGAACAAGCAAAGCTTAATACTAAACAGTATATATATATTAGCTGTATAATACCAGTAGGCCAGCTCTAACAGTAATTTGGTATGGCTTCGCGGGCCAAATGTAAATGTAAACGGGCCAGAGTTTGACACCTATGCTCTAAAGGAAAATTCTGAAGGTTGCCTCAATTAATATAAATAATTCTCTGATCCTGAACTAACCTTCCAATTCTGTTAGGTTTGTTGTAAATATAGTCTTATATGTCTTTAAATTTTATATGGCTCTAGATCAAAGCTTTGTACAGTGTATGAGCTGACATTACTGCTATCAGAGCAAAATCACTTGAAGTGTCTTTGGGCCATGATGATTCATATCAGTCAAATCCTGATTTACAAAGCTGCACTGACCTCAGACACTGTCACTGTCTCTCCCACACATTGCCAACATGTTTTATATAAACATTTTCCCCAAGCCATTTTTATCAGCCAGCTCTGTTATGTCAGATTGCTGTACAGTCTTCACCATACTGCTGGACTATGGCCAAACGATGATTCATACACATGGACTGGAGCATAATTATTATAATGGTGTCCACATTCTAGGAATCACTGAGTTAGGCTCAGAGTACACACACTAACCTGTATGAACAAGGCCTCATTTCCCTCTGGGCTTGTCCTGCAGCCACTGCAGACCATTTCCTATTGACTATGAGGTTAGAGGCCATTTACAAAACTAATCTAATGAAAAGAGACAGGAAACACACTCAGGTAATTTTTCTTTGGCTTGTACTGAAACAATGGTGAAAAAACTCATTTTGATTGAGACTGGCACTTTTTACAAAAGGCTGCACAATATAATGGTGATTAATGAATTTGCAGCAGAAGTTTCCATGGCAATATTTGGTAGTTTACAGTTTTACGTTTCTGGTTAAACATCTTTCACTAGTGATATTTTTCTGCTATTTTCAGTCTTTCTGCTTGACATATAGAGTTGTCTGTTCTTGTTTGTCAAAGCAAATAATATCACAAAAACAAAAAAGCAACATAATCTTAAGTGAACATTAAGAGGTTATTAGGACTTGGAATCTGGCAGGAATATTATATAAGGGCATAGCTCAGTACTGACATACAACTTTGTAACACACACACCACACACACACACACACACACACACACACACTACAGACACACACACACACACACACACACACACACACACCACACACACACACACACACACACACACACACACACATATATATATATTTACACCATATTTTGCTGACCTCCAGATACCATATTCATCTGTTTTGTTTTTTCTTGTGTTTCCTACAGGACAGTTTTCCTGCCAGATTTGGAGGGATCCACTTTGTGAACCAGCCCTGGTACATTCACGCTCTCTACACCGTCATCCGACCCTTTCTTAAAGACAAGACAAGGAAGAGGGTAAGCCAAGAGATTTGTCTATAATCCGTCTTTCAGCTGGTGCAAAATCAGGTAAAAAAGCACCCTCCAAATTGGGACCACAGACAGTCTAACAGTAAAAATAACCACACAGAGAGCCACTTTAATGTGGATGATAGGTGAAAACTATTAGCAAGCTGGAATTCATATGGTCTCCTTTTAATAAAGTAATTTGGTTCTGATTGTTTTGTCTTTTTCTTTCTAAATTTGAAATGGTAATGACCTATTCAGCAACCTATAAACTTAAAAAACACATACATGCTAAAAGCAGAATATAGAATTAGGTTATAACAAGTTGTACTACTCAAATTTAATAGGAACGATGACATTTTGGGTCTGGTTACTGGCCTAATAGTCAAGCTTTTCTGGGCTTTGTGATCTTTTTCATGGTTTCAAGAAGAGAAAAGAAATTGAATGTGGAGAGAAAAATTCCAAGAGTTTCAACATCCTCATTCCAACACAGCTAAATCAAATGAATGGCTTGTTACTAGACCTTTGCCAAACTTGATGTCATGCTGAAGAGCTAATTCAACCATTTGATTCAGCTGCGTTACAGTAGGGATGCAAAGCTGCAGGACAGTAGCTCTGGAGGACTGGAGTTGGAGACCTCTGGTCTAAATTGTTTCCCTGTGCATCTTTTCCCTTTGCAGATTTTCATGCATGGTAACAACCTAAACAGCCTCCATCAGCTCATCCACCCAGAGATCTTGCCATCAGAGCTTGGTGGGATGATGCCACCCTACGATATGGGGACATGGGCTCGAACACTGCTGGACCACGCATATGATGAGGAGACTGACTACTGTCCAGAGTCCTACACCCTATCAGTACAAGACCTGGAGAGAGACCTGGAGAAAAACCTTTCCCCAAAGACCATGAAGAGGTTAGCGTACCATCTTAAAACCTCCACAGTGGTTTTTATTTAATGTAGTACTGTTTTTGATTATCATTAGGTTTAAGAATATATTATTAAATGCTTTAGGACCCTCTTAATGACAACCAGAGCTACTGTTTTTTCCTGAGGCTAAGGAGTCCCACCCAAATATTTCACAGCTGCTTCAGGCTTAGGAACTACCAGCTAATACATTTTCTCAGAGAATAATGTAGGTTTAAAATTTAAACAATGCACAAAAAATGAATAAAATGCTTGTTTTACAATAGGATATACCGTGGAACTAATTTGGTTATCTTTGCATAATTATAGTAAACAAAAGACATAATAACAGAACTATACAGATTTTATCTCACTGTGGTCTTCTTGTAATCATTGTCTCAGCTGGCGGGGATGAATATGCTCTAAATGGTTCCATCTGATTTTATATTCATTAGATTTTTATTTAAGCAACTAGTGTTATTTGGCTGGACCTCTTTGTGATTCTTGTGGATCAGATTTATTTATAAAAGATGGACATAGTCCAGTGGCTCAATCCTGCATTAATGGCCAGCAGATGTGGAATCCTGTGGTTTACATTTGATTTATGTGACGTTTTTCTGGTGAGTGTAGATTCCCGATTACTAGTTTTAAAGTTTTGTTTGTTCTGTTTCTATTTAAAGTAAAACAGACATTAGATAGTCAGGGTGTGTTTTATGGTGCGGTTGTCTTGTGCTCAACAAGCCCCAAAAACAAAATGATATGCCTCAAAAAGCTGAATTTAGGTCTCCAAAATAGCTTAGTCGACCTTTTATATACAAGCTGTGGTTTGAAAAAAGAAGCAATAAAGATGCATAATGATATGATGGGGTCAATAAATAGTTTATGAAGTTGAACCCTTACAAAAAAGACAAGTAAATAAGCAATCAATACACAATCTAGTATTATCCAGACTAGCTGACTTTGGGGGTTACATATATATTTATGTTCATTCATATGCTAAAATTTATGTGCTTATTCTTGACAAAGAGAATTCTGCTGAGAGCATGTTTGACATTTCCTGCTGTAGAGTTTCCCCCCTATAGGCCACTGTGCGGTGTAATTCACTGTGACAGTAAATCATCTCACCACTGTGGAACGTCAACTCACTCAAAGACATTTATACTATGGAAGACAAACAGCAGCGAGTTAAGGCAGCAGGCTGTCACTGCAGGAAGGCTCAACCCTGCCAATCATAAATTAATTATTAGTGAGTTATAAATGGTCTGACAGTAACAGGGTGCGTTTAAAAATGAACTCACGCTTTGGTTAATTCCCATATAGCAGGAAATAAAAACTTTTTATGACACTTTTTTAGCCTATAAAGCACTGTTAGTGTTATGCGTGTTATACTATAAAATCAGTATGCACGAATGCATTTTTATTTAATGTGCGGATGCTGTTTTCTTTTTATGAAGTATTAAAACAAAAATTATAACACAGGTTAACTAGTATAAAAATAATACTGTATACTGTATGATAAATGATTGCATATAGAACATAATGAAACATAATGAAACTTGCAAGTAACATTTTATTTTTTCATTTTAGCATTTTGAGTTATTTACAAAAACACACTGGTTATGTTACAGACACAGAAACATATGGTGTTTTCTGCATGTATCCAATGTCTTATAAAGTATTTTTAACTTTGTGTGAACAAAATAATAAACATAGAAATTAGAGGATTCCTGGAAATCAAACCTGAGGTGATGATTGACCTGAGGTTTTTTTTGCAGATTTTATTCATACTCACAATTTGCCTCATAGCATGAGACAAAATAACGGATAGACTGTTGCATCAGACTTTACACAAGTAGGTCGGAATATTTTAACATCAACATAAACCGTTACAGTTAATATTTCACTGCACTTCACGGTTGACACTCTAAAGCTTTCAGCACAGTTGGCGACACAGTTATGCTAATCACCTCCTGTTCTTTGTTCTTGTAGGTCTCAGTCGGTGGTGGAACCGGGAGTCCTGAAGCGACCAGACAAAGTCAAGAGCGAAGAAGACAACATGCAGCCGCTGCTTTCGCTGGACTAAACCGTGCAGTCACAGCTCAAAAGCATACTCAAATCAATATTTACACACACAAATACACTGACTTACTGTGCACAAGCAACACGCGCCCTGAAAAACACCTTCCTCCAGGAAATGCTGCTGCTGCTACTGTTGGATTCACCTTTTTCTCCAAATCATGGAAAAGCAAGCAGCAAGAGATGAGAAGGACGTTTCCTCAGACTTAAGGGCATCCTAAGAGCTACTGATGGTGTTCTATATATTTATTTATTTAGTTATTTGTCAAGTGCCAATTCCAGAAACTGTAAATTAACGTCTTTAAACAATCCAGTATGGAGCAGGGAAGAGACGCTCAAGAGAGTGAGTTGTGAAAGTATAGAGTGTTTACTGCACTTGTACAGGATACAGATGATAAAGAATGTGGAAAACTGATCATGAAACTTCAAAGAGGGCTTGGGGCCAGAGCTCTTGAGCTACAGTTTTTCCTTTTTTTGTACAGTAATTTGAGGAAAAATGCCCCATATGGGCAAGAAGCACGGCTCAGGATCTGCAGCAGTGATGGCGATCAGCTTGTTTAACCTCCTGGACCCAAACTGGCATACAGGCAGTGGGTTTACTGGGAGCTTATTGGGTGTTTACTGGGGGTTTGGCATCTTTCCTTTGAAAACAATGGCCGAACTCTTGGTTCTCACTCCAGTTATCTCTTGGAAAAGCAAACCCCCCTTTACGGTAAGAGTTGGCTCTATGTATCATTTGGTTTTTTTTGTTGTTTTTCCTTTTAGTCATTCTCTCGCTTGTTTCTGACCCATATGTCACAGAGCACAGCGCTGTCTTCTGCCATTAGGGATAACACAAAGTTGCTGTCTCTTATTTTTAACATAGACTCACATAATTACATATTTGTTTGGGAGACCAAAGATGTATTTTCTGAATTTCGATTGGACAAATAAATGAGGCAAAACTTTGTAGAAGCAAGGAAAGGCCAAGTGTATTATCTTCTCCTGTGACGTTGTGACACATTTGTTGGATGTAATGGCATTAACGAGCTTCTGAAAACATATTCCCATCATTTTAACACGGTATGCGTATTAGATATTTAGAGATTAAAGCATCACATTGGTATGTTGTTGACCGATTATTTCCACCTGTATAAAACAAAAGCAGACTTTTTCCTTTTTTAAATGATCCCAGGCTGCCATTCACAGTTTTTAAATCCATTTGAACTTATTATTAGTATTTTATAAGGCATTTAAAAACCAGCTATTTGTCGTTTGACACTATATAATTACCAGATTAATCTGAAGAATTAAAATGCCCACATCACTGTTTGATGAGAAAATTATTCCATTACCACTGTCAGGAAGTGCAAATTTTATCCTTTTTGTCTTAAGTGTTAAGTGTTTGGTTTGCAGCATCTTTAAGGATACCCTCTGAAGCATGAGAGTGCTGTTAGAACATCCTGACAGCACCTGAATGCACCGAGACATTTTCAATGAGGTAATTGGTTAACTTCAATAATTTAACAATTCAGCTGATAATGACACACAGTCATTAATAATTTATTAAATCCTGGATTAGAGTTCATTGTATTGTTAGAATGGCTGCAGTTATTTTCTGTACAGGGCAGTTAAAAGGCTTGTATTAAGTCCTATTTCAGGCTATCTGTCACTGAAGTGGTAACAGAGACTGCACTTGACATTTTAAAAGGATATTAAGGCAAGTAAATTGTTAATGACTAAAGTCAAAACCATCCCTATAAACAGATATCTGTATAATAATATGCATGAAACCATCCCTTGTTTCCAACGGATAATCACATTTGAGTTTGTATGCAGCCAGGTAAAAAGTCAGTCAAGCAATCAACTGTAGTCTGATGATAATGTCTCTATTATTAGATGTCTTATTTCAAAGATTCAGTTCAGCAGTCTAGCTCATAGGTTCACCAACTGTAGTCAAAGTAATACCAGCTGTCTGCTGCATTTGAACCCTTTAACATCCTGAAGCTCTGTCCAGCAAAAAAATACCAAATTCCCCCATGTGATGTTCTGCTTGTTTTACTTTTGCCTCTTTCACTTTGTTTATTCCATCTTTTGTGTTTTTTAGATGGAGAAGGCTAACTATAGATACGAGGAAATAACGATAACATAGTGCACTCAAAATTATGATTTTTGAAGTGATCCTCCTAAAAAGAATCAGTTTAAACGCTGATGATGTCATTATTATATGTGTGGCACAGTCAGCTTTTACTCGAGTTGAGAGAAAAGTGTAACTTTCAAGTGCAACATTTTATACTAAATTATAAGATTAATTACTTTAGCAGTCAGAAAATCGGGAACTGTCCTTTAGAAAATAGTATTTAAACTGACACAGTTTGTTAAGTTATGTGGAATTTCTCCATGCATGTAGCCCTGAAGCAGTTTGACATACTTTAGTTTAGGTTCTTCCACATCAACTATTCACCACGGGCACACGAAGTGCAAAGGTGTGACAACCAAAATGTTAAGAAGGTGGAGAGCACAGCGGGAAGGAAATACGTGCCTCTGATGGGCAGAGCAGCAGAGTGAGGCTGGCAAACAGACAGCCGAGCAGATCACAGAATAAAGGCCGGCAGGCAGGGGAGCATGAGGTGGCCCGCTGCAACGAGAGCAGACAGCTGGAATGTTAAACTATCACACCAGCGCACACGACATGTCAGCCCCGCTTACCGCAGCTCAGAGGCTCTACAGGCTGTATCCTGTGCAAAGTCGAGTCAGACTTGTTCTTAATGGTTTCTCCTTCGGCTCAGTGTGATCCGTGTGCTTCCACTGAGGTTTAACATCAAACACAGAGAGATAATAATCTGGCAGTGTGATGGCGATACTGTGTTTTTACTGAATATGTGATCAGCCTGATCCTCTAAGAGCAGACAGTAGCTACAGAAACAGTTTGAATAGGCTGTCATGACACATATTATTGTATGATTAAGTCCATTGTAGGGTCTGATTCAATTTTTATTATAAATTCAACCTTTGCTGCATCTACTGCTCAAACTTTGTGTTCAAGGAGTAAATTATTTATTTTCAGAAAGAGGCACATAATATAGAGTTCAGACCAAACCTAGATTTCCACAAGGTGTACAGGTGTATGATATATCTGTACAAGAATTTTGCCATTTGTACAATTACTCATTATGACAAAATCCATAAAATATACAATTGGTTCAATATTTTTTTCATGCAACTAAAATGCTGTGGAGCTTATTTGGAACCAACCCGATTAGTCATCATATGCTATGCGTTCATTATTTTATTATATAACTGACCTTGGATCTGTTATTAATAATCCACTCATACTGCTGCCAATACATAGTCATCCTAGTACGTCAAACGTTGTCTTTTTGTCTGTGCTGTTGCACAAATACCTAAAAGCTGCCCTCTGACGTTGGTAGCTTGACACATCGGCTGTGGCAGAATGAGACATGAACAGACAGTGGTCCTGTTTTTGCAGAGCAGCAGACAGACAGTGGTGGAGTGACTCACCCAGGAGACCGCTGTCCACATTTTATTTTGCTTCGTTTACGTTAATAGGCTGGTTAGGTTTAGGCATCTCAAACTCCTTTTTTAGTCCAGTTGGCTAAGACGATATCTTGATTTGTTTTTAAATATGCCATTTGCAACAGTAAGCCTGGACATGTAGGTCATCCATATAAATCTGATGAAAAGACGTATTTTAGAAGCACCCATACATAACCACTTGGGTGTGACAGACCTGTCTCAGTAGCTGTTGTATTATGGCACAGGTGGCAACGAACACCGTGTGCATAACTGTGAGACTTCAGCTGCTTTCTCAAAATGGCAATATTTGATGCCCAAGGAAGTAGAAAGGAGTATCTCTCCTGACATCCCATAAAACCAACATCAGTATTTCCTCTTTTGTAGATGGAGACAACTTAAATGAGTATATTTTGTTGTGTGATGTAATTGTCTTAGTTTGTCACCAAGTAAAACTACTAAGAAAACCACAATCAGTACAAGGCTTTTAGAAAACTGGCTGATGTAATTGTTTTAGCATCAGTATTTGGTTTGATTATAATGCTGATATTTGTAGACAGAAAACAAGATCTTTGATTTCCTTTAATAATCCGCTTGTAGTTCTATTGACCAATCATGTTGAAGGATGTTAAAGGCTTGTGCTGGACAGTGGAGAACAAACACATACTTTTAACTACAAGCTCTAAACCATAGGCAATTATTTGACATTAATTCAGGTTGTTACTTGCTTTTTAAAAATTCATATTTAACTGTGTTTTAAAAGAAGCACAGGGAACAGTCAGATATTGACCAGTGTCCCCAAAATCGATAGATTCCCAGATTGATTCTGATGTCGCTGACAGCGGTAGTGCTTTTGCAGCCACAGTTCTTAGTTCAAATGCCCCTGTGTTCTCTTTCCTGAGAAACAAACATTGTTGTCAATATATTTCTCCCATTTTAAATATGATTATGGAATAAATACAGCAAAAGACAAAGGTCATCCTCATTTATTTCTCATGTACTGCAAAATTTGAAGGTTGACATACCTGCTAATTTGTCTTTTTAAGCTATAACTGACCAATCACTGTTCAGGGGATGGATTAATGAGAAGATCAGTTCTCTGTAAAACCCAGTTTAGTCAGCTACAACTAAGTTTTTCTGCAACTGCTGCTTGCTGGGTTTTTGTTTCTGAGAGTCAATACAAGTCAAGTTCAATCTAGACATTTTTATTAACAACAGCTAAAAAACATTTTTTAAAATGATCATAATCATCTCTTCAACATTGAACTCTATTAAAAGGAAACTGCTTTTGATACACTGCAATCATTGCATCATTAAAAGTCATTTTAAGGGAAGAAACATAATATGTGTTATTTGAACTCCTTTTTTGAAGGCAGCACTCTTTCTTTACAGGATTTTAGTGCCAAAGGTCCCTGTGACTTCTCGGTGCTTATGACTGTGACAAAAAGGGTAATAGGGAAGAAAATTATAGAAGATTGCACTGGCATCATTATCTGAACCTGCACACCGTCGTATTTCCTACAGAAAACTCCAGATATGCTATCAGCCTTAATCACAAAATGGCGCTGAAGCAGTAAAGAGGCAGCGCAGAATCAGACATGTGAGATGAAAAGGATTAGGTAAGCGCTGCATACCACAACTTCTGACTGACAGCCATGCTTCTGTGATTACTTTATCCAAATTCACCTGCAGAATAATTGCAAATACAAATTTAAAAGTACATTTCATTCATGTGAGATTTATTTGCAGTCAACCCAGGTTAAGCCTAAATGTTTTGCAGCAATCTTTGAAAACATCAAAGCATCAAAGATTGGAGGAAAATGTGATCCACTTAAATATCATGCTTTGTGTTACAGACCACAAGTCACAGGGGAGGGTTACCACATACCTGCTTGGCTGTTTAATCATCCTTTTAATTCACATTTTAAGACAGCAACTTCATTCATCAGTGACATCTGATGAGTCGTTCAGACGCTGGTTAATAATTAGGATTAATACATAAGGCATGGTCCATGTACCATGTATGCAGATAATAATAATTCTGACAGCGGAAGGCCTCACTGTACTTTGTTGTTGCATGTTGATTTGTACAAACACCCACTTTCACACAATTAATTACTTGCAGTGTAATTACATCAACTCCTGCTGTTTTTCATCTTTAACAGGAATATAATGGTTTGTAAGTGCAAGTGTAGCTAAACAAACTAAACAGTAAGTCAGAGGATGGGGTTAATATTCAACTAAATACTGCCAAGTCTCCGAGACTAAAATGGTTATCCTGCAAGAAACAAATCACAAAACTATGGATGGTGCGCCATTAGTAATTCATTTACTGGCTTATTTTAGTCTTTCTCACAAATTTACAGCTTTAACCTGGTTTACTTCCCTGCCTGGGTTCATTCTTCAGTATAGAGTTCAGCACATTTCATCACAGCTGCATTTTACAAATGTGTCCTTTTCTGATGTTTGTTGTCAGTGCTGGAATTAGTTCATTACTAATGAGGTAAAAGTCTAGATTTGTTATCAGTATCAGTGCAGATGTCAAAAAACAAACCTGAACTGTATTTTCAGACCATTCAAACTTAGAGTATAAATGGTCACAGTAGTTACTTGAGTAGACCAACTTCTGGCAGTCATGAGGATTTTTCCAAGAGCACTTTGCAAGTTTAAAATTATCAGTCACACTCCAAACAACAAAGTCTAATCACCTTTTGTTCACACTACAATAGAAAGCTGTTGTCATCATGTGTTTTGGTTGCTGGTTTTGTTCGCTAGATGTTGTGGATATATTTTTCACAAAACTCATGCAGTAGAACAGAGCCAATACAGTCTGAATAAGAGATTCAGGAGAAAATGTAAAGATTACTACCA